CCCTCGAGTATCCGATGGAGAGTGTAGAGCTGGTCCAGTGTTCCACGGCCGGGACAAAAACCACACTGCTCCTCCTGAATCCGAGATTCGACCATTGGCCGTAGCCTCCTCTCCAGTACCTTGGAGTAAACCTTACCAGGGAGGCTGAGGAGTGTGATCCCACAATAATTGGAACACACCCTCCGGTCCCCCTACTTGTAGAGAGGGACCACCACCCCGGTCTGCCACTCCATTGGCACCGCCTCTGGAGTGGCAGACCGGGGCCGCGGGCCGCGGCACGCTTGGCCAGCCGGTACTGGACAGCTGCCAGGAGTCCCCCGAACCATCATGGCTCGATAGGACTCCTTCTTCAGCCTGACGGCATCCCTTACTGCCGGTGTCCACCACCGGGTTCGGGGGTTGCCGCCGGGACCAGCACCAGAGACCTTGCGACCACAGCTACTAGCCGCCGCATCGGCGATAGAGGAAGAGAACATGGTCCACTCAGACTCGATATCCCCCTCCTCCGCCGGGACCTGGGAGAAGCTCTCCCGGAGGTGTGAGTTGAAAGTCCGTCTGACAGGGGTCTCAGCGAGACGTTTCCAGCAGACCCTCACTACACGCTTGGGTCTGCCAGGTATGACCGGCTTCCTCCCGTGCCAGCGGATCCAACTCACGACCAGGTGGTGATCGGTTGACAGCTCCGCCCCTCTCTTTACCCGAGTGTCCGAAACATGCGGCCGAAGGTCATATGATACGACAACAAAGTCGATCATCGACCTCCGGCCTAGGGTGTCCTGGTGCCACGTGCACTGGTGGACACCCTTTTGCTCGAACATGGTGTTCGTGATGGACAAACCGTGACTAGCACAGAAGTCCAACAACTGAACACCACTTGGGTTCAGATCAGGGGGGCCGTTCTTCTCGATCACCCCTCTCCAAGTGTCACTTGCGCTTCCCACATGGGCGTTAAAGTCCCCCAGGAGAATGACGGAGTCCCCGGGCGATGCACTGTCCAGTACCCAGTGTTGTGCCAGTTCACAACTTTTCTGAACTAGTTCAAGTTCAGTTCTGAACTAGTTCAAAGTTCAGTTCATTTTCCTTTTTTTGTGAAATGGTCAAATACTTTTTTTCACACTACGAGCTATAATTATATATATATATATATATATATATATATATATATATATATATATATATATATATATATATATATATATATACATACATATATATTTTTATATATATATCCATCCATCCATCCATCCATTTTCTACCCTTTAATCCATTTCTGGGTCAGGGGGGTGGCAATCAGAAATGCCACCCAAGTCTCATAGCACCAGCCCCTCACTGACCCTCTGCAGGTGGTGAGTCCACAGGAGGGCGGCTGCTCTGAGTGTGAGCATAGCCTTGATCTTTCAGTGGGGGCTTTGGGCAAAGTGGGGTTAAGTGTCTTGCCCAAGGACACAACGACAGCAGTCATCAGTGGGAGTCGGTGGAGAAGGTGCAGAGGTGGGAAATGAACCCACAACCTTCTGGCCTTAAGGCCAATGCTCTACCAACTGAGCTACTGTCGCCCCCACCTTTTTTTTTTATATATATATATATATATAAAAATATATATGTATGTAATATATATATATATATATATATATATATATATATATATCTCCTGTACACCCACAGGAGGAGAGCCTTTTGACTACAAAACAGACTAGATTTACATGCTTTTCAATGGGAGCAAAACGGAGTTGCTCCATCTCTGCTCATAAACTACAAACAGTAATGCGTGTGTCTATACTTTATGTCAAATGTAAACTTTGTCGCTAACTCACCCTGTGTTTTCATCACGACTCGGGAAAAGCACCAGCTCACAGCGCCGCACCTCAACACAGAGTGGGGGTGCGTTCACAGACTGTGGAAACCGTAGGAATCTTTAGATTTCAGCGGAAAAAGTGCGAGAATACAGGAGGGAGGAACTTTCTCTCGTTGCGTTTCAAAAGAGAAAACAGATTCCAACGTTCATAGTGATGTCTGCCGTTCATGACACATAAAATTAACTAATTCACGTTCAAGTTCTTTTTTTAAAAATGTTTTGCGTTCAGTTCAACATTCACAAAAAAATGAGCGTGTTCAATGAACGCGTTCTTTTGAACTCGTTCACGCACAACACTGCCAGTACCCCTCCCAAGGACTCCAAGAAGGCCGAGTACTCTGCACTGCTGTTAGGCCCGTAGGCCGTCACAACAGTGAGAGACTTGTCCCCCACCCGAAGGCGGAGGGACGCGACCCTCTCATTCACCGGGGAGAACTCCAACACGTGGCGGCTGAGATGGGGGGCAATGAGTATGGCCACCCCAGCTCGCCGCCTCTCCCCCGCGAGAAACACCAGAAAAGTGGAGCATCCAACCCCTCTCAAGGAGTTGGGTTCCAGAGCCCAAGCTGTGTGTGGAGGTGAGGCCGACTATCTCTAGTCGGTACCTCTCGACCTCCCCCACAAGCTCGGGCTCCTTCCCCCCCAGTGAGGTGACGTTCCACGTCCCAAGAGCCAGATGTTGGGTGTGCGGACTGGGTCGCCGAGGTCTCCGCCTTTGACTGCTGCCCAGTCCTCGCTGCACCGAGCCGCCACGGACCCCTCTGGGGGTGGTGGGCCCACAGGAGGGACTGCCCACGTCGTCTTCTTAGGCCGGGCCCCGGGTCAGAGAGTTCATGACTGGCAAACAATGTCATTCAGTCTCATCTCTAGTGTTTTATGCCCTTCGAGTGAACGAGTTGCGAGGTCTTTTATCAACTGTTCCACTAACACAACTCTCCTTTGTCCAGACACTGCACTCTCAACCACGACTCGGCTTAACTCCTTGTACATCCCATCAATTTTGTTGGCCAGCAGCTCATGAATCTTGCGAACCGCCATGCCTCCGAATTTGCGGTAGAAAAGGAGCGGTCCTTCTCTAAACCCAAAAAGGAGGATCCCCACCACCAAAATGCCAAAGATACGTCTTCCGAATCTTCAATAGACAGGACCGAAAGACAGAGGGGCTGAAACTTGTTCCAACTGTCAAGAGTATACCGCGCAGGTATACTCTTGACAGCTGGAACAGTCCCGTCCGGGCACACGGGCTCCCTAGACCCTCGCTTACGTGTTGAAAAAATAGAGTCAATTGCGTTGAGGGACCAGTTAATCATTTCCATAATTCTTGTTAAAGTTGTCTGTGGCAAAACTCCAGGAAAAAGACAAAAACAAGAGATAGCAGGCAGTTAGAAGCAGGAGCGGTCTGAGGACACGTCTTTGCTCGACGAAGGCGGAAGGAAGGTAACAGTGACAGTTATTGTTTGGAATTTCTGCCTTTAAACAAGATCCAAATAATATTTATTTTTCATTATCACAAACAGGCTCACAAGGCCTGTGTCGCATCAAAAATAGTACCTCCTAATATCTCCTCAGCGTTGTCAGACTACGTACTGTACACGCGACACGTAACTAGTAACATTGGTGCGGTGCATGGAGTAATTATAATATCGATGATAGCAGGGGGATTACCTCTGAGAGGACTCTGCTTAACCCCTGCAGAACTGGCTCCTACAAACTTTTCAGGACACCGAATGACAGACTAGCAAGTATTTAATAGAAAATTGTGGATAAAAAAAAGTGGATATTGAAAATGCTTTAAAGGATTGACTCGGACACTGAACATGTGAAGTCAATGGTGCTGACCTGCTGTGCTCTGTACAACTCACAAAACCACGGAGAGACCTGTGACAGAATGGGACATTCTTGTAGCAACAGCAGCCTTTGTAGCAGTGGTTGAAGAGGAGGAGGGCTATCCAATACATCGCTTGTCTGCCTAATTATTTTGACCAAAAATAAAACCTTTGTATTTTTCAAATCTCTCCATCCTTGTTCATAAATTTACCAAGGTTATACGGATTTACTGACAAATATAATGTATGTAGTAAAAGTACGTAAGTATATGGTAGGAAATCGTAACTTGTACGTTAATATATATACAGTCTATTGTCCGCGAGGATACGGCCTGGCTATAGCCAGTGCTAGTGCTAGCGCTAGCTCGAGACTGGATTTAACTCACAGCTTTAACTCACTAACCTTGGATTCCAAAGCTACAACTAGATAGATAGATACTTTATTGATCCCCCGAAGGAGAAATTCAGGTGTCCAGTAGTAGCAAAAAGAAAAAGAAAATTGATCATTCTATAAAAAGATAACAATAGTAATAATCAGCCACAGCCCTTCAGGTCACAGCAGCGGAGATGGAGTAGCCTCTGGGTGGAGCAGGACGGGTCAGACCAGCAGAGGTGGAGTAGCCTCTCGGTGGAGCAGGATGGGTCACAGCAGCAGAGATGGACCAGCCACTGGGTGGATCTGGACGGGTCACAGCATCACAGAATGAGAAGCCTCTGGGTGGAGCAGGACGGGTCAAAGCAGCATAGATGGAGTAGCCTCTGGGTGGAGCGGGATGGGTCACAGCAGCAGAAGTGGAGTAGCCTCTGGGTGGAGCAGGGCAGGTCAAAAGGTGGAGTAGCCGCTTGGTTTGGACCATTTTCTCTGTTCTGGTCCAAAGTAAAATACTAAATGTAGCATTAGCATTTTTCAAAAAGTCAGCATTCCTCCAGTGGATTTTCACCTGATCCGCTTGATTTGGACCATGAATCCTCTCCGCTCCGGTCTGGACCAGTGCCAAACTTTGCACATTGTACTGAAGCAACATCTCAGGCAGAAAAAAAGCAATAAAAATAAAAATTGTAAAGCACAAAACAACAACTGTTAATCAGAGCTACAAAGGACTTGCAGCCGTTACCCAGCGCATCGTTAAAAAAAACAACAACAAAAAACTACAATTAACGCATCTTTTACTACCTCGGAGAAGGATCCAGGGTTTAGACTCTCCATATGGCAAACAAATGTACAAGCACACAACAGAAAGACAACATGTGAATACTGCTACTGTGCAAAGCACAGTAGCAGTATTCACATCATGACACCAATATTTCTTGGTGTCATGATGTGGCTCTTCACAGGAGGACAGCTGAAGCCTCTTGGTTATTCCTGCTCAAGATCATGCTCAATGGTCAAAAAGAACACGAATGATGCATCATAGTGTCACGTTATCTGTCTTAAACGGTAATAAATGTAACTTGAAGATTGTAATTGTGCTCATGTGCTATAGGGAAACGAACGCCATGGAGGGGCATCCTGCTGTTTGGGCCCCCGGGCACAGGGAAGTCCTACCTGGCCAAAGCAGTGGCAACAGAAGCTAACAACTCCACCTTCTTCTCCGTGTCGTCCTCTGACCTCATGTCCAAGTGGCTGGGGGAGAGTGAGAAGTACGACATAAAAAATATCTTTCTATAGGGTGTAACATGTGACTAGGCCAAACCTGGAGCTGCCCTTATGTTACACTGTACTCTTGTCTGGTTCCAGGCTTGTGAAGAACCTGTTTGATCTGGCACGTCAGCACAAGCCCTCCATCATCTTCATCGATGAGGTAGACTCTCTGTGCGGCTCCAGGAACGAGAACGAGAGCGAGGCCGCCCGCCGCATCAAGACAGAGTTTCTGGTCCAGATGCAAGGTGACCACTGACTTCATTCACCATCTCCAGTCTCTGTCCTGTTCCAAACATGGCATTAACCGATTAAGGCCTGACACACCTGGTAAAACAGACCTGTAAACCCTATGGCTGACTTAAGAACCACCCTCCAAAACCTGAAGTTTTCCTGAAATTCAACGTCTACAGAATGATTGATATCTCTGCCTCTGTAGCAGATAGAAACATAATTTAAAAAGAATTTTAGAGCTGACACTTGTGGCTGTCAATAAGAATGCAGTGTATTATTATAAACCTGTAGAATAAAACAAAAAATATACAACTTCCACACAGGAAAGTTGTATATTTTTGGTATATACCAAAACCGCCACAAAAATGTAATAAAATGGCACTAACTATGTAGAAAAAATATATAAAAATCCACTCTCAGCCCAAAAAGTCCAATAATGACTCACAGGGCTCTTTCTTACGTAAGCAAAATAAAAAAACACGACTGTTTTGTTTTGTTTTGTTTTGCACAAATAACATGTATTGTCAATGCAAGCGAAAATGTAGGTACCTGAGCTCTAATTCAGTGAGTTTTGGCTGTGCTTTGTGAGGAGACTTTGGGGAGATGGGAGAGAAACATGGGGGAGAGATTGGGGGTGAGACAGGAAAGACCCGTACGTGCGGGGATGGTCCTGATGTGATATATGATTCTGTCCGCGTGTATGGTCCGCGTTACATGACCACGTTACGGCTGCGCGTCTATGGTCTGCGGTACATGACCATGTTACGGCTCCGCGTTTGCTGAGCTGTGTCAAAGTGGCCACAGTTGCTCCCGGGGTCAGAGCGGAGGATGTGAATACCGTTTGAGTACATACCGCAAACAGCCCGCAGTCACACGTTTCACAGAATTCGCGGATCCGCAGATAATTCTTGTCCCAGGTTTATCCTGATGCATTTCATTGGTCAAGAGAATTGATCAATGAAGAGAATAGGTCAAAAAAAGACGTGTCCGCTTTCCCGCCCTTAAAGGTAGAAGTGCGCAACAGCGCTCCCGGCCTGAAAGGTAGAAACACAGGAATGCGTTCCCGGCCTCAATGGGTTAAAGGACTCGAGCCAGCGGCGCTAGAGCTAGCGGCTTCGCTCGCGAGCTAGCGGGCACCACCAGGGGAGCCGATGCTGCAGGGGCAGCGGAGGCAGCAGACCGCCACAGAATGGGGCCTGTTTCTGAATTATGGAAGCCCGTTTCAGCCATGTAAAAAAAAAAAAAAAAAAAAAGCCTACAGAAAGTCATAATTCTGAGTTTTAAAAACCTTAAAAGAGGTTTAAAAAAAAAAAAAAATGTGGATATCAAAATTGCATGACAATGTCAATCTGAAATAGATTCTGGCAAAAAAAATCCTATATTTTATAAAAAGAATGTGTTTTTCATGAATTTAAGTTGTCTATGCTCTAACCTGTGTGTGACGTCACAGTGGGTAACGCCCATGCATTGAAAACCATGGATCTATGCCACAGGACTGCCTTTTCTCTCTTCTCTCCACTGATGCCCAACACAATACAGGTGACAATTGCTCACTACACATAAATTGCCGTTTTGAGAGTGAAAATGTGTCTGAGGTGGGGTTTGAACCCCAGTATCTGGATTGCCAGTGCATCGACACAACCACTGGACTATCTCAGTGCCTGAAATAACATCCAAGCTACAGCTTTTTGAAATCTTTGTACAATAATTAACATTTTCCAAAATAGCCGCCACCTTGATGACGTCACAATATGCAAATTAGATGACAAATCAACTGTTGTGCCCTCTAAATGTGGGTTATTTTGTCTTAAATTGGGTTTAGCGATTTTATTTTGAAGGGCTATCTGGAGACAGGAAGCAATCTTATTTTGAAGGCTAGCTGAGGGATCCAGACAGGAAATCGGCCATTTTAGTTGTTTTGGAGTTCAGCACATCTCCTCACATTCATCCAGTGCCATCTGCGGATATTGTTGTCTTTTTGACATCATCGTCTTTTTACTCTGTTTTGGAGACAATTAACTCATTCACTGCCCATGACGACAAAAGTCGTTCTATTGTATAGTGACGCTCACTGCCCAAGACGACTTAGACGACTTTTTCGTGTTATTACACGGGAGGCTGCAGTAATGTCTGGCGCACCTTGTTAATGACCCACAACACTGATATATAGTGCAAATGTACCTGTAATGATAAATCACCACCAGTAGGATGCAGTATTGCACCACAGGAGAGGTCATAAGTCAGTGGAGAGGAGGAGGAGTGTGGGGTCTTTGGAGAGCGTGCTGTGCTGCTGTAGCAGAGCGATGATAGCGTACTGTAGCATTGAGACGGATCAGATCTAGTTTAGCGATAGTATAGCAAGAGTGATGGCAAAAAAGAATAGTTATAAGCAGTATACACTGCTTCAGAGATTGACTCGCGGATCAGTGAGTGAGGTCGAGAGGGGAGAGAGGGGAGACCCGGGTGGAGGTCCGTCTCTGCAGCTACATTTGCGCGGAGCAAGAGCCCCGAGCAGAGACACACCTTCCGCCTCTCGCAGCGTATCAGCTGCTGCTGTTACTGATGCCTCGGATTCGTTCAGCAAACCTGATCATGATTTATCGGACACACTCACAAACACTCACACGCACTCACTCACTCACTCACGCACACAGACACTCACTCGCACACAGACACTCACTCACACAGACACTCACTCGCACACTGACACTCACTCACACAGACACTCACTCACACAGACACTCACTCGCACACTGACATTCACACACACACACACAAATTCACATGCTTCATTCTATTTTATACATCTATAGTTTTATTGATCTTTGTGTTGTTGTTGTTTGACGTTTTGGTTGATGGTATAGAAGAAAGTTAAATTTTCTATCTGTGAATAAATTGCCAACAATTTGCCATCAAAAGTATTATTTCAGAGTCATGTTTTTATAATTTTTGTAATGGAACAAGTGTGAAGATGTTTTGAGTTGTCACTAAAGCAGCAAAAATGCATCTAAAGTCTCTTTTCTGCTTGATATGTTCCTGTTTACATACAGCTCGTTTTCTCTGTTTTCTTGCTCAGACCAGGTGTTATGGGTGAAAGTATGCTTTGTTCTATGGCAAATAACGCAAGAACGGTAAGAGGTAGAAACAAACTGTTTTTTTCAGAGTAAAGCAGAGAGGTTAATCTTTAATTTGGTGCCCTTGGTGTTTACATCGTCTAAAAAATGAATATTCTGTGGCACTTCAAAGTTGGGTCAAATCACCTGAAATTGCTGGCAGAATGCACTTCTCAAATCTGAAAATGCCTGGCAGTCAGTGAGTTAAAAGGAGCTTGGACGCTACTTCCTGACTTGTCTTTTCAGAAGGAGTTAGGCTAACTGCTGAATTGTGTTAGATACACACAAATGAGAGCAGGATAGTAAAAAGACGTTACGCAACTGGCAGATAATAATACTGCAGCAAGGCACTGAATCAAAATGCTTGAAGAACAAGAAAGCAGAAAAGACCTTCCCCACGATGGAGCATCCAACATAAGCACTCGTAGCTCCAGGTCAGGGAGATCATCTGTGAGTACTGCAGCTACAAAGGCAAGAGCCATAGCTGAGGCAGCCCGTGCACGTGCAGCATTTGCAGAAAAAGAGAAAAGTATTAAACTTGAAAAAGCCAAACTTGAAGCCAACCTTGATGCTTTACAATATGAAAGAGAGGCTGCAGCTGCTAACGCCCAGGCTGAAGTATTGGAGGCAGCAGCCGAGCTTGAGGACGTGGAATCTCAAAGCAGAAGAAGTCCCCCTGTACCTGTCCAAAACATACAGGAACAAGTGAGCGCTTACGTCAGAGAGCAAAATTCTAACACAAATGCGTTCCCTGAACCCATTCGTCGAGCAGAGCCATCAGAGGGTTCTATTGAGCCTCGTGATGCTCCCACACCGCATGCGGTCAGAGAAAAGGAATACATTCTGATAGACTCATGGCCACCCGCTCCACCACAAATTCACCAGAGATCAATTCTTCCCCATACAAACACTCTATCACAAATCGAAGGAGAATCAGATCATCTCAATGTTAAAGCAAAGGTATTTTAATATGCTGACACGTCTCACCCAAATCGTCCAGAAACTTCAGTTATGATGGACATGGCAAAGTATCTGGCGCGCAAAGAGCTCATAAGCACTGGCCTAAAACACTTTGATGACTGTCCAGAAGCGTATAGAGCATGGAAGTCCTCTTTCTCCAACACAATAAGAGACTTGGATTTGACGGCCAGTGAACATTTGGATTTGCTCTCAAAGTGGCTCGGTAAAGAATCTGCCGATCACGTCAGGCGTCTAAGGGCGGTTAATATTAGCAATCCAGTAGCCGCACTGAAAGCAGCATGGGAGAGGCTCGACGACTGTTATGGTGCTCCAGAAGTCATTGAAAGTGCTCTTTTCTCAAAACTCGATAATTTCCCAAAGATCTCCAATAAGGACAACTACAAGTTGAGAGAGCTAGGAGACCTCTTAAGTGAACTTCTCTCTGCAAAAGAAGATGGCTACTTGTCAGGTTTAGCGTACTTGGACACTGCCTGTGGCATAAAGCCCATTGTGGAAAAGTTACCATACAACCTGCAGGAAAAGTGGCTCGCTCAGGGATCAAGGTACAAGGAGTCCCATCAGGTCAGTTATCCTCCATTCTCCTACTTCACCTCCTTCCTTTGCTACCAAGCCAAAACCAGAAATGATCCCAGTTTCACATATTCTGGAAACAATCTACAGACAGAACGCACAATACAAAAACGTATAAATACAAGAACTACAATCGCAGTACACAAGACTACGGTGGCGGCAGGAACAGTTCAGAACGACGCAGCATCTAGAGACGACGTAAACAAACTGTGTCCTATCCACCAAAAGCCCCACCCCTTAAAAAAATGCCGTGGTTTCAGATTAAAGACTCTTGAAGATAGAAAAGCTTACTTAAAGGAACAAGGCATCTGTTTTAAATGTTGCTCATCATCTTCTCATCTTGCACGCGATTGCAAAGTCA